AAGCCCTCTCCATTCTTAGGTAAACTTCTGTGGCCTGGAGCATGGCCCACTACCCCTACACACACACACACACACACACACACACACACACACACACGTACATCTGGCCGGAGCTCTGGGGGCCTGTAGTTTGGTTGAGTTCTGTTGTTTTAGATCTGAGTTGTACCTGGGCTCTGGCCTCAAGGACAGCAGGAGTATGCTGTCCAGTACAGCATATTCCTCTGCCTGTCACCCGTGACCTGGTCTCATCAGGGAGGCATCTCAAAGGCACTCAAGTTCAGTTTGCACTGGGGCCCTCTGTCCTCACCGGGGAGAGTCTGGGCAGCATAGGGTTGCTGACTAGGCCATGATCCAAATTACCCTGGGACTTCCTGTGAAATGACAGTCCCCCTGAGCTGAAGCCATGACACGCAAGCAGAGTGGCCCGTGTAGGGTCAGTGTATTCCGCAGTGTTCAGTGCAAGGTAAGAAGGTCACCATGGCCAGCTAGATAGGCCAGAAGGAAGGCTCTGTCTCCCCCCTGTTAACCTGACCTAACTGGTTTCAGGTTCCCTCCTGCAGGACTGGCCACACACTTGTCCTGTGACCGCAGTTCCCAGTGTCCACGTGCAGAGCCTGCTTCAGCTCCTATGAAGGAACAGCTGTTGGAAGCACCGGGATGACCCAAACTGACCACTTTATCCCTATCCCTCTACCCAGAGGCTGAATCTAGATCAACGGAGCCAACAGTGAAGGAAAGGGCTGTCATTACAACTGCCTTTGCCTGGGAACAAGACACAGAGCCCAGGACAAGGTCAGATGACCTTGGAACCCAGTAGCTCTCTGGAGACCCCTAAAGTCGAAGAGTAAAGATCACAAATACAGAATGACAGCTAAGCCACTCTCTGTGTCTCTGGGCTAGTAGGAACCACCCTCATCCACACAGGAAGTGTGAAGACAATCAGGTGACTCACTGACCCAGGAAACTGCCAAGCACCAATAAGCAGCATTTTGTGTCCTCATCACAGCCCCTAAGATGAGAGGATGCCATCAGGCATGGCACCAAAGAACACCTTTCAACAATTGGCAATAGAAGCCATCTGGTTGGGCCATGTTAGCAAAAGCCTGTGGAGAGAAAGAGGTTGTGTGGAAAGGGCCTGCCTGCCAAGACATGCCTGGGTCAGTCTTGGCTTTAAGCTTGAGACAGAGAAATGACACCCCTGCCCCAGATTCATGAGGTGGGCATGGTTCTGATAACAACCCCATTTGCAAGGTGGGAGTAGAGGTGGGGAACAACATCCTGAGCTGGCTGGATGTCCCAAAGACCAGGGACCGAGCTAAAGCTATGAACAGTAGAATAACACAATAGGCTTTCAGAACACATCCGTGGCTTCAAGGACCTTGATGCCTTAGGAGTAACAATAGGGGCCCATGAGCCAGGGTGGCCAGGCTGCCCCTGCCATCTTAGCTCAGTGCCAATGGGGTTGCTGGTTCACCCAGTCTTGCATCTGTGACAACCCCCTAGACAATGTCACTGGAAAGGCAGTGAAGGTTTTGAGTATTGAGCCCTCAGCATAAGATCTAGAAAGAGTCCCCATACTAAGGACACTTCTGTTGTCCTTTCTGGTTCCTCAAAGGTGCAATCTCCCTATAGGAATGCTGGCGGTATCAGCTCGACATCCCATGACTTCTTTTGGGCCATGCTCCATGCACCCAGGTTCCCTGCCCCAAACAGCTAAGGACACGGTGGCAAAGCACCAGCCAGGGTGCAGAGTCACGAGGCTGGCTCTTCCTAAGGCTCCTCTCCTCGTGTGGTCATACTGTGTGTCTATGTCCTGATGGCCTCTTGATCCATAGCCAATTACATTAGGCCCCATCATAATGACCTCAGTGTCTTTAGAGGATGGATAAATGGCTCAATGTTCTTGCAAAGGATCGGTGGCTCACACATGGTGGCTCACTGGACACCATTCCTACTGCACATTCTGGGGCTCTTTCCATGGTCTGCCAATACTGTGAAGTTTTCAGAGCCCATTCCCTCCACACAGGTCCTACTCAGCTCTGTTTTCTGGCCATCGTTGTCAGACTCAATCTGTGTAGCACAGGCCATGGAGGAGTTGGGGTGGGGTAGGGTGGCAGAATGACCAGAGTGACAAGACCTGGTCAAGCAGAGAAAAGTGGCTCAAGACCATGTGGCCTCAGGACCCCCTCTGCTAGTGGTCCAGTATACACTCTTACTCCCCCTGCCGGTAGCCCAGTACATACCTTCTAGCTCCCCCTGCTGGTAGCCCTGTATACATTCTAGCTCCCCCTGCTGGTAGCCCTGTATACATTCTAGCTCCCCCTGCTGGTAGCCCTGTATACATTCTAGCTCCCCTGCTGGTAGCCCAGTATAAACTCTAGCTCCCCTGCTGGTAGCCCAGTATACACTCTAGCTCCCCCTGCTGGTAGCCCTGTATACATTCTAGCTCCCCTGCTGGTAGCCCAGTATACACTCTAGCTCCCCCTGCTGGTAGCCCTGTATACACTCTAACTCTCTCTGCTGGTAGCCCAGTATACACTCTAGCTCCCCTGCTGGTAGCCCAGTATACACTCTAGCTCCCCTGCTGGTAGCCCAGTATACACTCTAGCTCCTCCTGCTGGTAGCCCAGTATACACTCTAGCTCCCCCTGCTCATGGCCCAGTACACACTCTCTGGTGCCCTAGCTGTTTTTATGATGAATGACTTTAAACAGTAAGGGCATAGGACAGCACCCCTCAGATTAGCATGTAGCCAGTTTTACTTTCAAATGTTCTTCCTCGAGGGAATTGGACAATATACTCACAGCTGCCCCTTTCAGTCCTGCCACAGATACAGCCTTAATCCCAAATCTAGTGCTTCCTAGGTGTTTGCCACATCCATCCATTCATTTGTTTGGTTTGTTTGTTTTTCATGAGGGGATGCATGTGTGCCACGGCACGTGTGTCGAGGTCAGAGGCCAGCTCCTGGAAGTCAGTCCTCTCTTTTCCCTATGTGGGTCCCAGGAATTTAATTCAGGTTTCCAGGCTTGGTGGCAGTTGTCTTTAACTCCAAACGATCTTACTGTATCTCAAATGTTTTATGTTTATTGCATTTGCAACTATTCAAGTAATATGGTATTGTTTTACATTTGTAGAAACTAACAGATACCACCAACCTTGAAGAGATGGCTCGGTCAGTAAAGCACTTGTAGATCAAGCATGAAGACATGAAGACAGATCAAGCAGTAAATATAATCGAGAGATTATAAGGATTATATTTAATCCCTAGAAAACATGTGCAAAAAGCTGGGGAGGGAGAGACAGGAGACCCCATACAGAGAGCCTAACCTAAGCAATATGCCCCAAGTTCAACAAAGAGACTCAAAAACAAGGTTGATAGCACCTAAGGAATGGTACCCACAGTTGACCGCTGCCCTCCACATACATCCACACACATGTGCGTGCACATGCATATAACTGCCTGTAACTCTAGCTCCAGGAGATTTAATACTCTCTTCTGGTCTCTATATAAGTATACACACACACACACACACACACACACACACACACACACACACACTTCTCTTCCCAAAGGGAGACCATTTGCGTTTTTTGCTCCCATCCATCCAAGAGCCATCACTGGCCAGCCACCAAGAGTCTCTGGCTCCCCCAGCTGCTCAATGGTAGTACTACAATCCCAGCATCCAAAGTCTGTGCTGAGCTGGACCAGGATGGATTCTGGGAAGACTTCTGAGCTGGTTTTAGCCACCACAACAGAAAAGACCTTGAGATGAGAGCAGCCCTGTCACCCCAGGTTCTGGGCAGCTGAGGTGTGCAGGAGAGTGCCAGCCAAGCAGCAAACAGGAGGCATGGGGAAGACAGGCCTTGGCAGTTTTTGTCATTGCTGCATGACAGAGTCCATCCTGACTAATACACGTTAGAAAGTTTACTTTTAAATATTAATCCTTAGATTTTGAAATTAAACCCTATTCATCATTACTGGGACTCTGGGTAGGAAAGGGGTTTCATACATAGCACCCACACACACACATGCACCCCATGTTTGAACCAATACAAGAGCAAGTAAGGGGACTGATAATTTTCCAAAGGACCACATAAGCCCATGCTGTAGGTTCATGTGGTTTGTCAGCTTTGCCCAGCAGTCTTCGAGAAACCATGTTATAGTTTGTTTATGGAGTATATATCCCCCACCCTCACCAAAATGGCTCACAGATTGGATGGTAAGGGTGTTATCTGGGAGACTCTCGGTGGGGGGTGAGACCTGGCTAAAGGTTAAAAGGGCTGAGTCCTTGCAGGATGTTATCCCTGGCCTTTGCCAGTTATGCTCAGTCAGCTTCCTGGCGAACCATGCTGTGAACAACTTGTCTCTGCCACAAGTTCCTGCAGCTTTGGTGTTCTATTCAAATGCATGGGGTCACGCAACCATGGACTGATCCTTCAAAACCCTGAGCCAAATAAACCGCCCTTCCTTCACACTGTTTCTAGTTGGGTAAATTTATCACAGTGACCCGGATATAAACAATGCAGTCCACAAAGTCACCACTGCTTTTCTTTCAGTTTGTGGCAGAAGCCAATGTCCTGCCCCTAGTCTGTGGCCTGAGGCCTCCTCAGTGACACACACACACACACACACACACACACACACACCCCATAGGCACAGACAGATGGAAATACACTTGTGTGCATGCACACCTGTGTACTCACACCTGAACACACACTGTCCCTACAGCATGTGGACAAAAGTCTCACCCATAGTGGAAAACCCTGGAAAGGAACTCATGGTGGGAAGGGGCCTTTGTTCACCCAGTGCTCTGAACAAACAGAGCCCAGAGCCTAAGAGTAAGTAATACAGGTGGTAGAGTCGCAAAAAAAACAGTAACTGGACCCCGGGGATCCTAAGGAATCCTCTCCAAACTATCTAGCCCCACCCTGTTCCCAGAAGCCATCCACGTAGTGGGCAGTTCAGATCCTTGCAGAACCAACTTAAACCACACAACCAGATTGGCTATGCCTGAGTTTATTAACATAAAGCAAGGGATGGAACAGAAACTCTGAAAATAAATATCTGCAGAGAAGAAGCCAAGCTAGAAGAGGAGGGAGCTCAGAGGGTTAGCAGCATGGTGCGAGACGGGAAGGGAGGAACATGGTAGAACCCATTCACTTCCTTCCCAGAAGTCGGGGACTGGAACGCCTGACGCGGACTTTCTGGGCCTGGGGGAGCGCACAGACGGTGTCCTGGCAGAGACAGCTCTCAATGTGCGTGTAGGTGTGGCTCAGCTCACTGCCATCTGGACATTCCAGGGTCACCTGGCGCTCGCTGGTCCTCTCCTCCTTGCAGCAAGAGCACCTGTGATCCAGATCCTGGACCTGGGCAGAGTACCTGGGGACAGGAGGGGCAGAATGAGTTCAGACTCCCTGGGAGCAGCAGCAGCATCCTCCCTCCACCACCGGGGCCTGTCTGTGAGCTCCAGCTCCTCCACCCCTCCATCTCACACTTGCAGCCTGAGACTCACATGGCGAAAGTCCCACAGGAGCCCGAACAGTAGTTCATGAAGACATTCTTGGAGCAGCCATTGTAGGAAATCTCCTTCTTGACACGGATGAGAGAGCAAGGGACTGCGGTGTTGTTTTTAGGAATACCTGGGAGGAGATGCAAGTGCAGGGGTGGTCTAAGACTGGCTCATGATCTCTTTTTCTCTCTCCCTCTCCCTCTTTTTCCCTTTCTCCCTCCCCCTCCCTATCCCCTCCCTTTTCCTCCTCCTCTTCCTCTACTGTGCTGGTTTTTCTCCTCTCTCCCAACATGGCTAGCCCTTAACTCCCAGTCTCACTGTTCTTTAAGGAAATGAGCCCCCTTCCTGGAAGGGGAATCAGAGTGTAGTAGACACAGTAGGAACAGGAGTCCCGAGGTACCCTGCCCTGGTGTCTTCCTGCCCAGGCTCTGGTAAAGCCCACCCACCACCCTGTTCCGCCAGCTGTACTCACAGGTCTTACAGCAGCCATTTGGCATGTACGTGATGGAGCCCTGAAGGGAAAGAGGAGTGTGAGGGAAGCCCAGAGCACCCCCAGCAGGTGCGTGCCCCTTCATGGGGTGCATAAGGAGGGTATGGAACAAGCCTCCTGGAAGCCAGGCAGCTGGGGCATCAGGCAGCGCACAGTGCCAGAGGGGTCCCACTCACCGGAACACATTCATCGGCGTTGAAGTCGGGGCAGGTGATGTTGGAGATAGAGGAGATGAGCTGGTTGTTGATTTTCAAGCAGCTGAAGAAGGTACAGTGGTCGTTGGGGTTTTTCTGTATCTCCCCGGGCTGTGGACACAGCACAGAATGGGGATGAGCAAGTGCGCCTCCAGAGAGGCCGGCCCTGGAAGACCTGGGAGCTACAGCTTCACAGGCAGTAGTCCCTGGGCAAGTGACATCCACAAGAGAGTCTTGGAGACATGAACTTACCTGCTTGTGGTTGCACAGCATAAAAATCTCTAACCTAGGTCTAACCTATGAACTAGGAAGTGACTTTGAACAGGGAAAGGGTCTTTGAAAATCTCAGGGAAAGAATCTGTGGATGAGGTCATCCTCCTTGCAAGAGACACAGAGGACACATGGGCTCAGATGGAAAGGAGGCTGATACATGGAGACCAGGTCAGAGATGATATAAACACAGCCGCACACCTGAAGAAGAGGAGGTAGGAAGGCTCCTCACGCTTCCGCCAGCCTTGACCCTGGACTTCAGAGCTCCAAAAGTGGAGCAGCCACCCAAATATATCACTCACACCAAGTTTTGGGGGACCTGGGATGTCTCAAGCCCAGTGATTGACAAGCTCGTGGGTGGGGCCTAGAACGCCGCCCCCCCTGCCCGTGAACACACACCTTCAGGATGATATACTGCTGGCCTGGCTTCTCAATGATGCAGTGGGTCTGCTGACATTTCTTGCAGCACTCCCCAGGGACTTCCACAGGCTCAAAGCCCTGTGGACACAGGAGAGGACAAGGCTGAGATCAAAGACTTGTCCCTGCAACCGGCCAGGTCCTGGGATCGCTGGAACACCCCACCTGGGGGGAGGCTCGCACACACAGGGAACAAGCATCATGGTGGGAGGCACAGTTCGGCAAGGAAGATTTTTTTTTTTTTTAATTGAAGGCAAATCATGGAAATGAACATGGAACCATGTGCCTCTTTGAAGATGGGAAGAAGGTAAAGGAGGCAGGAAAAGGGAAGGAAGGGAGGAACCCCACTTACAGAGCTGCAGGAGATGTTGCAGGGCACATGCGTACAGGAGATGTAGTTGACCTGGGTGGCATTGTCCATGGAGTCGGTGCATACACATTCCTGGCACTTGGTGGAGTACACTGGAGATCCAGGCTTTAGGAACAGGCAGAGAAGTAAAGGGGCCGCACACACCATCACCCATGTATACTCCTTCTTCAGGAGACAGACAACGCCACCCATCCCCCCCCCCGTACCCTCCCAGTTCAGAACTCACCTGGTATTCAGCATTCCCGTGCACACACACACCCTTGGGTTCTTGGGGGGAAAAAAGTGGGAAAAGCTATCAGAAGCCATCCAGCCTCAGCCTGGCACACAATCTAAGGAGGCTCAGGGCTGGGTGGATGCACAGCCATAGCCATGATAAAGACACACAAGGAGAATGCATGCTCCCTCCATGGACCCCTTGTTCCCAGCCTGCCCCGCTGCTGTTGTTCCCAGCCTGCCCCGCCTGTTGTGGCCTTCCCTTGCCCAGCTGGCATCACTTACCACAGGAGACATTTGGACAGCATTTTCCAGGCACAATTTTGCTCTTGGCTTCGAATCCCAGCGAGCAAGAGTGAGGTTCCGCACTGCATAGTTTGGTGTCACACTCTGAAGGCAGAGCAGGAGTGTGGTGACCAGGACAGATCACACAGGCAGAGCACCACATCCCACTGCAGAGCATGAATCTAGGCCCCTGTGGAGCCCGCCGAGACCAGGACTTGGAGTTGGGGCTCCTGATCTGCGTCCCACTCCCCTCTCAAGTGAGTATAACCTGAGTTAACCAGCTGGGGGGCAGGAAACCTCACCTACAGCACGCAAGGTCAGTTACACTAGGAGCCCTAGTGGTCTGAGAGTGGCTCCCATGCCCCAGGCTGTCCTTACTACATGTGGTTTTGTTGCAGCACTTGTTTTCTGGGTCGAGCTCTTCGACAAGGTAAGTGCCTTCCTCCTCGCATGTGGTCCGGTTCTCCCCAGCACATATCTTTGGAGTGCAGACAATGCGCTTTCCACCCTCTAGGCAAACACAGTCCTGGCAATCAAACTCAAACCGCTCTCCAATCTGCAAAGAGAAAAGATCAGATTAACACCTCATTAGCCCTACTATGACACGTCCAGGGCCAGCCAGAGAGGAAAGAGCTGGACCAGGTAGCCAGATGAGGAATCAAGTGAGAAAGCTTTATCCCTCATCACCTCTGAACTCATAGGGAAGGTTCAGGGACAGCCCAGCACCTGTTCATTCAAGGCCACTGACATCACACAGATGTGACTTGTTCACCAGCGTCCACCAACACCTCCTGGCATGCAATGGACACACCACACATTGTCTACTGATTTTTTTAATTGAGCTAAAGAGTCAACCAATGACTGTGGGCACACACGGGAAACAGGACCGAAGAAGGCAACGTGCCATCCCACGTTTAATCAGAGTATATAACTGGTGAGTGGATGGGTGGATAGATGAATAGATGGTTTGATGGATGAGTAGATGACTGGAAAGATAGAAAGATGGATGGATGATGGATTGATGGTTGGTTGCATAGATGGATAGTGTATGGGTAGTTGGACGGGTGGATGGTTGGATGGATAGATAGGTGGATGGAGGATGAAGGGTTCCGATGGATGGGTGATTGGATAGATTTGTGGGTGCGGAATAGGTGGATGGATAATGAATTAATGAATGAATGGAGGATGGATGGATGGATGGATGAAGGATAGATTAATGAATATGAATAGGTGGATGATGGCTGGGTGGCTGGATGAATGGATGGATAGATAACAAATGGATGGGATGAAAGATAGATGGTGGATAGGTGATTACTTGGATAGCTAATAAATGGATATACAGATGAATAGTGTGAATAGATGGATGGATTATGGATGGGTATTGGATAGATTGATGGGTGGTTGAATGGATAACGGATAGGTGAGTGGATGGATGGATGGATGGATGGATAAATGGATGGTATAGATGGTTAAATGGATGACGGACAGCTCAAGGTAATGGACTGATGGATAGATGCGCCAATGGATAGATGGGTGAGTGGGTGGATCTCACCCAGGACTTACATGGCTCCGGATTTTAGGGAGAATTCTCCCAGCACAAGGGGAAACCTACCTCTCTGGGCACATTGTCAGGTCCCACACAGCCTAGGAAGAGAGAGGAAACAAACTCTGTTAACACTGTCGTGATATTATAAGGAACTGAGATGTGCTTTCTGGCCCTGCCCCTGTAGACACAGAGGCACAGGAGGGAGGCAGTAGGAGTAGGAGACATACCACAAGTCTTCACACAGACATCAATGGCAGGGGAAAACTTTGTGGTGCCTTCAGAACAGAAGCAGCCTTCCACCAAGATTGTGAAATTCTGGGAGGCACTGGAATGGTAAGACACGCGTTCAGAAGGAAGGCGCGATATAGGCTGGGGCACAGTTCTGGCAGGGGGCTAAAGCTGACTGGACTGCATGAGCAGGACTAGGAAATCAGCGGGAGTCTTCAGGCAGCGTACCTGGACTGGCAGGTGGGCTCTTCTGCAGGGCCACAGGCCTTGTACTCCTTGTGAGGTGGACACTCCACAGCTGCAGGACAGGCGCAAGAATCAGGAAGGTCATACCCAGGGAGATAAGACTGCCCCTCCCTGGACAAAGCTACCCAGTCTTTCCTACCTAGGACTTCACCCCATGCAAGCCGAGGATGGGGAGCTGCCCGATACCCTTGCCTGACCCACAGATCCCCAGCACAGGCAGTACATGGGGAGAGATGAGTAGCACTTACAGCAGGCCCCCTGAGTACGGTTCCGCCAGTCAACGCAGGTGCCTTCCTTGGCACAGAGGGCTGCATAGGCCTGTACACTGGCACACTCCAAAGTAGAGTTAGGCACAAAGCAGCTATCAAACAGGCAGGCTTCATAGTAGTGCTTTGGAGGCACGAAGGGGTGACACTCAGAGAACAGGCTGTGCAGGGAGAGATAGATCACACTCTGGTCAGCACCCCAGCCTCTCCACATGCTTCCCTGGCCTCCCCTTAGCCTACTGGAGCCTGCTCAGAGGCCCCTGCCAAAGAGGCCCTATGCTACCAGTAGCAGAAGACAGAAAGTGCTGGCACCTAGAAAAAGAAGGACATGTGCCTGTGTTATCAGGCATGCAGAGATGTACTCTGCACACCTGAATGGTCGCTGGTTGCCAGGATGTCCCCTTCCAACAATCCTGCCAACGGGTTACCTAGCTGTGACTTCAAACACATACAGGGACAGGGAATGTCCTCCTGTGGCTACCAGATTTAGGAGTTCCTGACCCGTGTCCAAGCTCAAACCTGCCTCTCTGATCTACTAATGCTGTCTGGTCAGTTGATCTACTCAGGGTCTCCAGCTCACTTGAACCGGCACCTGGCCAGAAGGTGCGGGATGTCTGAGAGCAAAGAAAAGTGCTGGGGTAGGGGATGTCAAAGAGGATAGCTAGGATCTGGAGAAACAGAAGCCAGGTCCTGAGGCCCCCTGTGATCTGACACCCATCCACAGTGACACCCCAGCTCTCTCAGGCCCTCACAAGGGTTTCTCTGCCTACTTGGTAGACAGTAGGGACAACAGAGAGATGAGACCTCTTGATACCCTATATTTTTTGAGATAGGATCTCAACCGCCTAGGCTTGTCCTGATCCTCTTGCCTCCACTTCTCCACTTCCCACAGTTCACCTGCTCTTGATGAGCTCGCAGATAGGAGACACAGTGCAGTTCTCAGGTGGCAAGAACCCTGCTGTCGTGACGGCTGGGCGCTTGGTGGTGAAGCTGCTGTGGGGACAGTGTGGCTTGGAGGGGTCATTCACCAACCACTCGTCAGCAGCAACCTCACAGTCGGAGATGATCTCCCCGCTGGGCAGGATGCAGTCATCTTCAGTACTGTTAGTGCATGTGCCTGTGCACAGAGAAGCCACCCGTCAAGCCAGCACCAAGACACACTATCAGACCCAGGTCGGGCCCTGGCACCTTTCCTTCTCCAGCTCAGGCACCCTGTGCCCCACTGGCCAGGCAAGAGGGAAAATTCAAAGTCAAGCTAACATCTGATGGCTCCTCACAGGGACCAAACACAAGAGAATGCCACAGTGCCTGTCCACAGAGAAGTAGAGAACCCACAGCTAGGCGACTGATGCTCACACCCAGTCTTGCCCTCCAAGGAAAGAGGCTGGGGGGGACTCACCACACTGGCCCTTTGTGTTGTTGCCAAAGAGGTGGTAGGGCAGCCGGATGGAGAAAGACAGGCCGTTGTAGGTGATCTGAGCTTCCAGCCTGGGGATGTCTACCACATAGTTGATGCCAGATTCGTATACCTGCACCCCAAACTTCTGGTAGGGCAGAGCCACTACCTGCTTGTTCACCTGTACCTGTAGTCAACATGTCTGAGTCAGGGAGGGCCTCTGAGACTGGAGCAAGAGGCTGCCACATGCTCGAGGCTTGCCCTGCTGTGTCCTGTCCCACCATTGTTCTCTCTGGAAGTCATATAGCTCATCAAGAAGGCCAAGTTGCACCTGGGGATAGCACCTAGGTTATCTCTACCCCTATCTGAAAGGGGAGCTTTTCCTGCCCCTTACCGCTTTCCCTTCCCTTCTTGCCTCCTTTCCACAACACTAGGACAGACGTTTGTCCCAGCTCATCCCAGGAGATACCAAAGAAGGCTCTTCCCAGGGACTTTGAGGCTCCTCGAAAGGTTCGGGGCTCCTCAGATGTTTCCATCGATATCACCAATGACCCAAGGATAGAGAAGACTCAGCTAGACACAGCCACTTCCTGTTCACCTATCCTCAGAGAGGAGGTTTCTGTGCTCACTTCGAGAGCCCATGAGAAGAGCTGACATGACCCTAAGGAGGCTCTAATGTGCCGTGGTTCCAGCCAGGTCCAGTGAATCCGCAACCTAATCCTCGGTCGCCTGGGGCCCACAGTATAAGGCCATGAGAGACACACTTTGACTGCCCAACCAGTCCCAGTCACATACCTGCACCACAATGGGCATCAATTGCAGAGTCCTGATCTGCACTTCCTGGGTCTCGTGACGCACAATTAGTGTGCGGGGGCAGGATACCTCGTCACTGACATCACAATGGTAGTTGTCAATGTAGACCCCAAAGTTGTCCACCGTGGGGGTAATCTCCTCCATTAGGACATAGGAGCAGTTACCCTGGTAACTGTAGTAGAGCCCATCGAAGGTGACAAAGTGCGGGTCCCCCCAGCCAGTGCAGTAGCCTGTGGAAGAAGATTTGTAAGTTGATGTCATCCAGGATTCAAGGGACAGGCTGAAAAAGCCAGCAGTCACTAAAGGAGCCTGAAAATCCTGGTCCCTAGGTTGAGCCACTAGGGACTTCCAAGCGGGAGCAGATCTTCTAAAATCATCTTCCCAGTTGGTCCAGAGACACACCCCCTCTTCTGCAGGGAGAGGCCTTGCTTTAGAGTCAGAAGGTCACTCTTAACCTCAGAAGCATCCTTGCTCAGAAAGGTGCCTCTGCCCCACCAGCCAAGACTTCTATCTACCCCCCTCCTACCCAGGGAGACATAAAGGGTATTGAGAAGTCCCTAAGACTGTGCACAGCCTACAGCAGGTGCTTAGCAATCAAAGTCTGTTCCCAAGAGGCTAGCCCTGCCGCTACTGGTACCAAAGAAGAAAGAACCCTAGCAGGCATATCCTCAGATAGCAAGGCCTTACAGTCACACTCCCAGTGCCAGCAGCAGCCATCAGGGTCGATGACACGCACAGGCTTCAGGCCATTGGAGCAGGTAGGCATGGGCGGGGGTTCGCACTTCCGCTCCACAAGCTCCACTACGTTGTCATGCTTGCAAATGGCCATGGTACAGTTACATAGCCACCAGGTCTCATTCTCCTACAGGAGACAGGGCATGGACCAGTCAGCAGGCAGCCCCTCTTAGCGTCCCCAGTCTACACAAGAGGATAGGACCCACTCAGGGATGGAGCTGAGGGAGGCTAATATGAGGAGAAGAAAGTCAGGATATGGGGAAAAGAGAGAAGGCCAGCCGACCCTAAGCCCACGATGTTTTGGGAAATATCAGCCCTACTGAAGAAGGTGCAGGGTGTGGGAACGTGGGCATCTTGGACAACCAAGAAGGGTGTCATTCAGATGGTAGGTGCCCAGACATGGACCTGTTCAGTATCCAGGTAAGAAAGCCATATATTACCCACTGACCTGTCTAGGAGGATCAAAGTCGAGGCACCACCCAGGAGTGGAGGTTGTGGTTGTTGACTTGGATGTTGTGGAGGATGTAGACTTTGAAGATGTGGTAGATGATGGTGTGGACGGTGTAGACTTTGAAGATGTGGTAGATGGTGTGGAGGGTGTGGTTGTCGGGGAGGACGTTGGTGTTGATGGTGTAGAAGTTGAGGGAGTAGATGGACAGGGCCATTTGAAGATTTGGAGTTTGCACTCCACAGAGCAGTTCACATAATAACAAGTGTTCCCATAGGTATTGTTGTAGACCAGTTCACCTAAAAGGGAAGAGAAGGACGCAGTCTTTACACCATCCAGAGGCAGAGCTAGCCACGAAAACACACTGATCGACTCCATGGAGGCCTTGGAGAGGGACTCACTGTCCTGGAGGAGGGTACTTAGGGGATAAGACTAAAGTTAGATGAGGTAAGAGGGTAAGCCCCCTAGTGTGACATTAGTGGCATTGCAAGAAGAGGATGAGAGACCAGAGCCAGCACATCTCTCATGGCCTGATACCTGCATTGTATTTTGATGCAGAATGAGGAAACCATAGGGTGCCCGTGCCATGTTACTTCCTAGCCTCTGGAATGGTCAGCTGGATGACCAGGTGCCAGATACATGTTTCTGTACTTCCTAGCCTCTGGAACCGTCAGCTGGGTGACCTCCTATTATTTATAAATCATTTGACCTCAAGTATTTTGTTAAAACAGAAAACAGACTAAGACCCACCCTACCTGTTCTCCTGGCCTTGGAAGAGCCCTGACCTCTGGTTCATGTTCCAAGTAAGGTGAAGCTGACCACAAAAATATCCACCCATGACCAGCATCCAGCCTCCTGAGAAAGCTTCAAGTTGGGGTCTGACCCTGGTTCTACTCACTGGAAAGAGCAGGGAACAGCCTGAGCTTTGTAAACATTAGACTTAAACACCATGGATACCTGGGCCATAGTACGTGTCATTCAAAACACAGCAGGTAACCAAGGTGTCGACACTGGTCCAGTCAGTGATGGGAGAGGTGATTGGGGAGGCTGAGGAGATTGTGCCCCAAGAAGAGGTCCTGGTGGTCTCCAAAGTAGTTGGTGTGGTTTCCGTGGTAGATACTGGCACAGTGAAGGATGTAGGGGTGGATGTGGAGGGTGGTCTTGTGGTGGGTGAAGTTTGTCCTGTTGTGGTCCTTGAGGAAGTAGATGTGCCTGTAAGAACATTGTGGGTCAATGGCACTGTTCATCTCAGATGCCGCAGGGCTCAACCTGCAGGCCCTGCCACAGAGAGAGAACAGCTGGCCCAAGAAGCCATGGTGAGGTCTCAAAACCTTATATCTACTCACCAGGATTTGACACCACCATGCACACTGTGTGACTGTCACACTGGACATCTGACAAGGCCAGACTAGCTACCCTCCAGACTAGCTGCCATGCCCAGACAGAGGAGTAGCCCTATGCCTTACACCAACCCTGACCTAATGCAGCCCAAGATCTCCCTGGGCGAACTTTCCCCATGGAGATCTTTCAATACTGGGCTACACATTCTGTGCTGAAGTAGCTCTGCCTGAGGAAAGTCTATCTACAGGAAGGTAGTGACCTGTTTCCAACCAATTCATCAATCCAAGGGGTCTGACTCAGTAGGCAGGGAAGGTCCAAACCTTCTAGGGGACTTGCCTCACTGCGCAAGATCAGGGTCATGAATCACAAAGTACTGACTCCAGGCTCGAGTTGGGAGGCTGTAAAGCTTCCCTGGCAAAAATGACGCTCTCCCAAGAGAGGAGGAATGGGGTGGCTTCCCATGTGTACTTACCGGAAGCAGTGGTGGAGGGCCCCAGTGTTGGTCCTGGAGGTGAAGAAGGTGTACTGCCCGCTGACGAAGTGATGGATGGTGATGTTCCAGGTGACGATGCAGTGCTAGATGTTACTATGGTAGTAGCAGGGGTGCTAAGAATGATGATGGACTCCGTGGGTGGGGAAGAGGGGAACACAGTGGTCACAGGTGTTGATGGTTTCGTTGGAGATTTGGAAGGAGTTTGGCTAGTAGAAGATGTTGGAGTTGTGTTTTCAGTGGAGGTAGAGGTTGGGATCGGTGTCTCTAAAGTGGTGGTAGATGGGATTGAAGTCTCTGTGATGATGGAAGTGGAGGTTGGGCTTGGGGAAAGTGTGATGGTGGTAGCAGTAACAGGAGGGGAAGAGGGTAGAATTGGTGTGGTCGTAGAAGTTGAGGTTGATGACTCTGTGGTTGAAGGTGTTGAAGTTGGAGGGAACGTGGTAGTGGGGACTGGGCTTGGTGTCTGGATACTGGTAGATCTAGTAGTGAAAATGTCTTTGAAAGGCGTTGCTGTTGTGCTCTGTGTTGTAGATGTTAAAGTCTCTGTAGCAGTAGATGTTGGAGATAAAGTCACTGTGGCAGTCGAGGTTAGATTTGGTGACTCTGTGGTGGTAGATGTTGGAGTAGAACTACTTGGACTAGGTGTTGGTGTTGTGGTCTGTGTGGTAGTAGATATTGGAGTTGAGGTTTCTGTGGTAGTTGGTGTTTGGGTTGTAGGAACTGTGGTAGTCAGAGTTTGGGTTGGTGTCTCTGTCGTGGTAGATGTTGGAGTGGAGCTACTTGGACTAGGTGTTGGTGTTGTGGTCTGTGTGGTAGTAGATATTGGAGTTGAGGTTTCTGTGGTAGTTGGTGTTTGGGTTGTAGGAACTGTGGTAGTCAGAGTTTGGGTTGGTGTCTCTGTGGTGGTAGATGTTGGAGTAGAAGTACTTGGACTAGGTGTTGGTGTTGTGGTCTGTGTGGTAGTAGATATTGGAGTTGAGGATTCTGTGGTACTAGGTGATGGGCTTGAAATCACCGTCATAGTGGACGTTGGACTTGGTGTCTCTGTGGTGGTAGGTGCTGGAGTCGAGGTACCTACACTAGTGGTTGTTGTTGTAGTTTGTGTAGAAAGAGATGTTGGAGATGATGTGTCTATGATGGTAGGTGTTGGTTTTGAAGTCAATGTGGTAGTCTGAGTTGGGGTTGGTGTCTCTGTAGTGGTAGATGTTGGAGTAGAGGTACTTTGACTGGGAATTGGTGTTGTAGTCTGTGTGGTAGTAGATATTGGTGTTGAGGTTTCTGTGGTAGTAGGTGTGGGTGTTGATATAACTGTGATAGTGGATGATAGAATTGGTGTCTCTGTGGTGATTGTTGTTGGAGTGGAGGTACCTACACTAGTGGTTGTTGTTGTAGTTTGTGTAGAAAGAGATGTTGGAGATGATGTTTCTATGATGGTAGGTGTTGGTTTTGGAGTCACTGTGGTAGTCAGAGTTGGGGTTGGTTTTTCTTTTGAGGGAGATGTCGGACTGGATGGTCCTGTAATACGTGTTGTTGTTGTTGTCTGTGTAGTAGTAGATAAAGGAGTTGAGATTTCTGTGGTGGTCGCTGTTGGGGTTTGAGTCACTACAGTTGTTGGGGTTGGTGTTGGTGTCTCTGTGGTGGTAGATGTTGGAGTAGAGGGACTTGGACTAGGCGTTGGAGTTGTTGTCTGTGTGGTAGTAGATAATGGAGTTGAGGTCCCTGTGGTAGTAGGTGTTGGGGTTGTAGGAACTGTGGTGGTCAGAGTTGGGGTTGGTGTCTCTGTCGTGGTAGATGTTGAAATAGAGCTACTTGGAATAGGTGTTGGTGTTGTCGTCTGTGTAGTAGTAGATATTGGAGTTGAAGTTTCTGTGGTAGTAAGAGTCGAGGTTAAAGTCACATAGATAGTGGATGTTGGAATTGGTGTCTCTGTGGTGGTAGGTGCTGGAGTGGAGGTACCTACACTAGTGGTTGTTGTTGTAGTTTGTGAAGAAGGAGATGTTGGAGTTGAGGTTTCTATGATGGTAGGTGTTGGGGTTGGAGTCACTGTAGTAGTCAGAGTTGGGGTTGCAGTCTCTGTGGGGATAGATGTTGGACTGGAGTGTCCTGAAACATGTTTTGTTGTTGTCTGTGTAGTAGGAGATAATGGAGTGGAGGTTTCTGTGGTGGTAAGTTTGGGGGTTGGAGTCACTACGGTTGTTAGGGTTGGTGTTGGTGTCTCTGTGGTGGTAGATGTTTGAGTGGAGGGACCTGGACTAGGTGTTGGTGTAGTAGTCTGTGTGGTAGTAGATATTGGGGATGATGTTTCTGTGGTAGTAGGTGTTGGTTTTGGAGTCACTGTGGTAGTCAGAGTTGGGTTTGGTGTCTCTGCGGTGGTAGATGTTGGAGTAGAGGTACTTGGACTAGGTGTTGGTGTTGTGGTCTGTGTGGTAGTAGATATTGGAGTTGAGGTTTCTGTGGTAGTTGGTGTTGGGGTTGTAGGAACTGTGGTGGTCAGAGTTTGGGTTGGTGTCTCTGTGGTGGTAGATGTTGGAGTAGAAGTACTTGGACTAGGTGTTGGTGTTGTGGTCTGTGTGGTAGTAGATATTGAAGTTGAGGTTTCTGTGGTAGTTGGTGTTGGGGTTGTAGGAACTGTGGTGGTCAGAGTTTGGGTTGGTGTCTCTGTGGTGGTAGATGTTGGAGTAGAAGTACTTGGACTAGGTGTTGGTGTTGTGGTCTGTGTGGTAGTAGATATTGGAGTTGAGGATTCTGTGGTACTAGGTGATGGGCTTGAAATCACCGTGATAGTGGACGTTGGACTTGGTGTCTCTGTGGTGGTAGGTGCTGGAGTCGAGGTACCTACACTAGTGGTTGTTGTTGTAGTTTGTGTAGAAAGAGATGTTGGAGATGATGTGTCTATGATGGTAGGTGTTGGTTTTGAAGTCAATGTGGTAGTCTGAGTTGGGGTTGGTGTCTCTGTGGTGGTAGATGTTGGAGTAGAGGTACTTTGACTGGGAATTGGTGTTGTGGTCTGTGTGGTAGTAGATATTGGTGTTGAGGTTTCTGTGGTAGTAGGTGTGGGTGTTGATATAACTGTGATAGTGGATGATAGAATTGGTGTCTCTGTGGTGATTGTTGTTGGAGTGGAGGTACCTACACTAGTGGTTGTTGTTGTAGTTTGTGTAGAAAGAGATGTTGGAGATGATGTTTCTATGATGGTAGGTGTTGGTTTTGGAGTCACTGTGGTAGTCAGAGTTGGGGTTGGTTTTTCTTTTGAGGGAGATGTCGGACTGGATGGTCCTGTAATACGTGTTGTTGTTGTTGTCTGTGTAGTAGTAGATAAAGGAGTTGAGATTTCTGTGGTGGTCGCTGTTGGGGTTTGAGTCACTACAGTTGTTGGGGTTGGTGTTGGTGTCTCTGTGGTGGTAGATGTTGGAGTAGAGGGACTTGGACTAGGCGTTGGAGTTGTTGTCTGTGTGGTAGTAGATAATGGAGTTGAGGTCCCTGTGGTAGTAGGTGTTGGGGTTGTAGGAACTGTGGTGGTCAGAGTTGGGGTTGGTGTCTCTGTCGTGGTAGATGTTGAAATAGAGCTACTTGGAATAGGTGTTGGTGTTGTCGTCTGTGTAGTAGTAGATATTGGAGTTGAAGTTTCTGTGGTAGTAAGAGTCGAGGTTAAAGTCACATAGATAGTGGATGTTGGAATTGGTGTCTCTGTGGTGGTAGGTGCTGGAGTAGAGGTACCTACACTAGTGGTTGTTGTTGTAGTTTGTGAAGAAGGAGATGTTGGAGTTGAGGTTTCTATGATGGTAGGTGTTGGGGTTGGAGTCACTGTAGTAGTCAGAGTTGGGGTTGCAGTCTCTGTGGGGATAGATGTTGGACTGGAGTGTCCTGAAACATGTTTTGTTGTTGTCTGTGTAGTAGGAGATAATGGAGTGGAGGTTTCTGTGGTGGTAAGTTTGGGGGTTGGAGTCACTACGGTTGTTAGGGTTGGTGTTGGTGTCTCTGTGGTGGTAGATGTTTGAGTGGAGGGACCTGGACTAGGTGTTGGTGTAGTAGTCTGTGTGGTAGTAGATATTGGGGATGATGTTTCTGTGGTAGTAGGTGTTGGTTTTGGAGTCACTGTGGTAGTCAGAGTTGGGTTTGGTGTCTCTGCGGTGGTAGATGTTGGAGTAGAGGTACTTGGACTAGGTGTTGGTGTTGTGGTCTGTGTGGTAGTAGATATTGGAGTTGAGGTTTCTGTGGTAGTTGGTGTTGGGGTTGTAGGAACTGTGGTGGTCAGAGTTTGGGTTGGTGTCTCTGTGGTGGTAGATGTTGGAGTAGAAGTACTTGGACTAGGTGTTGGTGTTGTGGTCTGTGTGGTAGTAGATATTGAAGTTGAGGTTTCTGTGGTAGTTGGTGTTGGGGTTGTAGGAACTGTGGTGGTCAGAGTTTGGGTTGGTGTCTCTGTGGTGGTAGATGTTGGAGTAGAAGTACTTGGACTAGGTGTTGGTGTTGTGGTCTGTGTGGTAGTAGATATTGGAGTTGAGGATTCTGTGGTACTAGGTGATGGGCTTGAAATCACCGTGATAGTGGACGTTGGACTTGGTGTCTCTGTGGTGGTAGGTGCTGGAGTCGAGGTACCTACACTAGTGGTTGTTGTTGTAGTTTGTGTAGAAAGAGATGTTGGAGATGATGTGTCTATGATGGTAGGTGTTGGTTTTGAAGTCAATGTGGTAGTCTGAGTTGGGGTTGGTGTCTCTGTGGTGGTAGATGTTGGAGTAGAGGTACTTTGACTGGGAATTGGTGTTGTGGTCTGTGTGGTAGTAGATATTGGTGTTGAGGTTTCTGTGGTAGTAGGTGTGGGTGTTGATATAACTGTGATAGTGGATGATAGAATTGGTGTCTCTGTGGTGATTGTTGTTGGAGTGGAGGTACCTACACTAGTGGTTGTTGTTGTAGTTTGTGTAGAAAGAGATGTTGGAGATGATGTTTCTATGATGGTAGGTGTTGGTTTTGGAGTCACTGTGGTAGTCAGAGTTGGGGTTGGTTTTTCTTTTGAGGGAGATGTCGGACTGGATGGTCCTGTAATACGTGTTGTTGTTGTTGTCTGTGTAGTAGTAGATAAAGGAGTTGAGATTTCTGTGGTGGTCGCTGTTGGGGTTTGAGTCACTACAGTTGTTGGGGTTGGTGTTGGTGTCTCTGTGGTGGTAGATGTTGGAGTAGAGGGACTTGGACTAGGCGTTGGAGTTGTTGTCTGTGTGGTAGTAGATAATGGAGTTGAGGTCCCTGTGGTAGTAGGTGTTGGGGTTGTAGGAACTGTGGTGGTCAGAGTTGGGGTTGGTGTCTCTGTCGTGGTAGATGTTGAAATAGAGCTACTTGGAATAGGTGTTGGTGTTGTCGTCTGTGTAGTAGTAGATATTGGAGTTGAAGTTTCTGTGGTAGTAAGAGTCGAGGTTAAAGTCACATAGATAGTGGATGTTGGAATTGGTGTCTCTGTGGTGGTAGGTGCTGGAGTGGAGGTACCTACACTAGTGGTTGTTGTTGTAGTTTGTGAAGAAGGAGATGTTGGAGTTGAGGTTTCTATGATGGTAGGTGTTGGGGTTGGAGTCACTGTAGTAGTCAGAGTTGGGGTTGCAGTCTCTGTGGGGATAGATGTTGGACTGGAGTGTCCTGAAACATGTTTTGTTGTTGTCTGTGTAGTAGGAGATAATGGAGTGGAGGTTTCTGTGGTGGTAAGTTTGGGGGTTGGAGTCACTACGGTTGTTAGGGTTGGTGTTGGTGTCTCTGTGGTGGTAGATGTTTGAGTGGAGGGACCTGGACTAGGTGTTGGTGTAGTAGTCTGTGTGGTAGTAGATATTGGGGATGATGTTTCTGTGGTAGTAGGTGTTGGTTTTGGAGTCACTGTGGTAGTCAGAGTTGGGTTTGGTGTCTCTGCGGTGGTAGATGTTGGAGTAGAGGTACTTGGACTAGGTGTTGGTGTTGTGGTCTGTGTGGTAGTAGATATTGGAGTTGAGGTTTCTGTGGTAGTTGGTGTTGGGGTTGTAGGAACTGTGGTGGTCAGAGTTTGGGTTGGTGTCTCTGTGGTGGTAGATGTTGGAGTAGAAGTACTTGGACTAGGTGTTGGTGTTGTGGTCTGTGTGGTAGTAGATATTGAAGTTGAGGTTTCTGTGGTAGTTGGTGTTGGGGTTGTAGGAACTGTGGTGGTCAGAGTTTGGGTTGGTGTCTCTGTGGTGGTAGATGTTGGAGTAGAAGTACTTGGACTAGGTGTTGGTGTTGTGGTCTGTGTGGTAGTAGATATTGGAGTTGAGGATTCTGTGGTACTAGGTGATGGGCTTGAAATCACCGTGATAGTGGACGTTGGACTTGGTGTCTCTGTGGTGGTAGGTGCTGGAGTCGAGGTACCTACACTAGTGGTTGTTGTTGTAGTTTGTGTAGAAAGAGATGTTGGAGATGATGTGTCTATGATGGTAGGTGTTGGTTTTGAAGTCAATGTGGTAGTCTGAGTTGGGGTTGGTGTCTCTGTGGTGGTAGATGTTGGAGTAGAGGTACTTTGACTGGGAATTGGTGTTGTGGTCTGTGTGGTAGTAGATATTGGTGTTGAGGTTTCTGTGGTAGTAGGTGTGGGTGTTGATATAACTGTGATAGTGGATGATAGAATTGGTGTCTCTGTGGTGATTGTTGTTGGAGTGGAGGTACCTACACTAGTGGTTGTTGTTGTAGTTTGTGTAGAAAGAGATGTTGGAGATGATGTTTCTATGATGGTAGGTGTTGGTTTTGGAGTCACTGTGGTAGTCAGAGTTGGGGTTGGTTTTTCTTTTGAGGGAGATGTCGGACTGGATGGTCCTGTAATACGTGTTGTTGTTGTTGTCTGTGTAGTAGTAGATAAAGGAGTTGAGATTTCTGTGGTGGTCGCTGTTGGGGTTTGAGTCACTACAGTTGTTGGGGTTGGTGTTGGTGTCTCTGTGGTGGTAGATGTTGGAGTAGAGGGACTTGGACTAGGCGTTGGAGTTGTTGTCTGTGTGGTAGTAGATAATGGAGTTGAGGTCCCTGTGGTAGTAGGTGTTGGGGTTGTAGGAACTGTGGTGGTCAGAGTTGGGGTTGGTGTCTCTGTCGTGGTAGATGTTGAAATAGAGCTACTTGGAATAGGTGTTGGTGTTGTCGTCTGTGTAGTAGTAGATATTGGAGTTGAAGTTTCTGTGGTAGTAAGAGTCGAGATTAAAGTCACATAGATAGTGGATGTTGGAATTGGTGTCTCTGTGGTGGTAGGTGCTGGAGTGGAGGTACCTACACTAGTGGTTGTTGTTGTAGTTTGTGAAGAAGGAGATGTTGGAGTTGAGGTTTCTATGATGGTAGGTGTTGGGGTTGGAGTCACTGTAGTAGTCAGAGTTGGGGTTGCAGTCTCTGTGGGGATAGATGTTGGACTGGAGTGTCCTGAAACATGTTTTGTTGTTGTCTGTGTAGTAGGAGATAATGGAGTGGAGGTTTCTGTGGTGGTAAGTTTGGGGGTTGGAGTCACTACGGTTGTTAGGGTTGGTGTTGGTGTCTCTGTGGTGGTAGATGTTTGAGTGGAGGGACCTGGACTAGGTGTTGGTGTAGTAGTCTGTGTGGTAGTAGATATTGGGGATGATGTTTCTGTGGTAGTAGGTGTTGGTTTTGGAGTCACTGTGGTAGTCAGAGTTGGGTTTGGTGTCTCTGCGGTGGTAGATGTTGGAGTAGAGGTACTTGGACTAGGTGTTGGTGTTGTGGTCTGTGTGGTAGTAGATATTGGAGTTGAGGTTTCTGTGGTAGTTGGTGTTGGGGTTGTAGGAACTGTGGTGGTCAGAGTTTGGGTTGGTGTCTCTGTGGTGGTAGATGTTGGAGTAGAAGTACTTGGACTAGGTGTTGGTGTTGTGGTCTGTGTGGTAGTAGATATTGGAGTTGAGGATTCTGTGGTACTAGGTGATGGGCTTGAAATCACCGTGATAGTGGACGTTGGACTTGGTGTCTCTGTAGTGGTAGGTGCTGGAGTGGAGGTACCTACACTAGTGGTTGTTGTTGTAGTTTGTGTAGAAAGAGATGTTGGAGATGATGTTTCTATGATGGTAGGTGTTGGTTTTGGAGTCACTGTGGTAGTCAGAGTTGGGGTTGGTTTTTCTTTTGAGGGAGATGTCGGACTGGATGGTCCTGTAATACGTGTTGTTGTTGTTGTCTGTGTAGTAGTAGATAAAGGAGTTGAGATTTCTGTGGTGGTCGCTGTTGGGGTTTGAGTCACTACAGTTGTTGGGGTTGGTGTTGGTGTCTCTGTGGTGGTAGATGTTGGAGTAGAGGGACTTGGACTAGGCGTTGGAGTTGTTGTCTGTGTGGTAGTAGATAATGGAGTTGAGGTCCCTGTGGTAGTAGGTGTTGGGGTTGTAGGAACTGTGGTGGTCAGAGTTGGGGTTGGTGTCTCTGTCGTGGTAGATGTTGAAATAGAGCTACTTGGAATAGGTGTTGGTGTTGTGGTCTGTGTGGTAGTAGATATTGGAGTTGAGGTTTCTGTGTTAGTAGCTGTTGGGATTGACGTCACTGTGATAGTGGACGTTGAACTTGGTGTCTCTGTGGTGGTAGGTGCTGGAGTGGAGGTACCTACACTAGTGGTTGTTGTTGTAGTTTGTGAAGAAGGAGATGTTGGAGTTGAGATTTCTATTTTGGTAGGTGTTGAGGTTGGAGTCACTATAGTAGTCAGAGTTGTGGGTGGAGTCTCTGTGGGGGGAGATGTTGGACTGGAGGGTCCTGGAATACGTGTTGTTGTTGTCTGTGTAGTAATAGATAATGGAGTTGAAGTTTCTGTGGTGGTAGGTGCTGTGGTTTTAGTCACTATGGTATTTGGGGTTTGTGTCTCTGTGGTGGTAGATGTTATAGTTGAAGGACCTGGACTGGGTGTTGGTGTTGTAGTCTTAGGGCTACTAGATAGTGGACTTGAGGTCTCTGTGGTACTAGGTGTTGGGGTGGAAATCACCGTGTTAGTGGATGTTGGAATTGGTGTCTCTGTGGTGGTAGGTGCTGGAGTGGAGGTACCTACACTAGTGGTTGTTGTTGTAGTTTGTGTAGAAAGAGATGTTGGAGATGATGTGTCTATGATGGTAGGTGTTGGTTTTGAAGTCAATGTGGTAGTCTGAGTTGGGGTTGGTGTCTCTGTGGTGGTAGATGTTGGAGTAGAGGTACTTTGACTGGGAATTTGTGTTGTGGTCTGTGTGGTAGTAGATATTGGTGTTGAGGTTTCTGTGGTAGTAGGTGTGGGTGTTGATATAACTGTGATAGTGGATGATAGAATTGGTGTCTCTGTGGTGATTGTTGTTGGAGTGGAGGTACCTACACTAGTGGTTGTTGTTGTAGTTTGTGTAGAAAGAGATGTTGGAGTTGAGGTTTCTATGATGATAGGTGTTGGTTTTTGAGTCACTGTGATGGTAAGAGTTGGGGTTGGTGTGTCTGTGGGTGTAGATGTTGAACTGGATGGTCCTGTAATACGTGTTGTTGTTGTTGTCTGTGTTGAAGTAGATAATGGAGTTGATGTTTCTGTAGTGGTAGGGGTTAGGGTTTGAGTCACTATGCTTGTTGGGTTTGGGGTTGGTGTCTCTTTCTTTGTAGATGTTGGAGTAGAGGGACCTGGACTATGTGTTGGTGTTGTAGTATGTGTGGTAGTCGATATTGGAGTTGAGGTAACTGGAGTGGCAGCTGTTGGTGTTTGAGTCACTACACTGGTTGCCGTTGGGGTTGGTGCCTCTGTGGTGGTAGATGTTGGAGTAGAGCTACTTGGAGTAGGTGTTGGTGTTGTTGTTTGTGTGGTAGTTGATAATGGAGTTGAGGTTTCTGTGGTAGTAGCTGTTGGGGTTGTAGGAACTGTGATTGTCGGTGTTTGAGTTGTTTTCTCTGTGGTGGTAGATCTTGGAGTAGAGCTACTTGGACTAGGTGTTGGTGTTGTGGTCTGTGTCGAAGTAGATACTGGAGTTGAGGTTCCTGTGGTAGTAGCTGTTGGGGTTGTCTCTGTAGTGGTATATCTGGGTGTGGAAGTTTCTATGGTAGAAGTTTGTGTTGTGGTCTGTGTGGTAATCGATTTTGGGGTTGGCGTCTCTGTGGTTGTAGATAGTGTGGATGGAGTCACTGTTTTGGTAGATGTTGGGATAGTAGTCACTGTAGTAATGGTTGAAAGTGGTGTCGTAGTGGAGCATTCTGGCTTACAGCACTCACAGCACTCAACATTGATCTCATAGTTGACACACACGGGCATTGGGATAAACCCTCCTAATTTCTGATCTGAATTTTTACACACTAGCCCAACTTCTGTGTTACAAGTGACAATCTGTCCTAGCTGTTCAATTGGTTTATTGTTATACATCACAGCTCTGCAGGAGATGTTAAATACTTCCCAACCTGGTTTACAGGCATCTCCAATCAGTTCAAAATCTCCACTGTTTTTATCATTTTTGGGTTTGCCAGAATCTGTCCAACCAGTCCACTCGCACTTATTTTTAATGCATGGAGTGCTTGTGGTGGTGGTGGTGGTGGTGGTGGTGGTGATGGTGGTGGTGGAGGACAGAGTAGACAAGGTTGATGAAATGGTAGGTGAGGTCCTTGGTGATGAGGCAGTTGAGGTGCCTAGTGAAGGGGTTGGTGAAGTTGTAACAGAGGTGGTTGGTGAAGATGTCTGTGAAGTGGTAAATGAAGTCACTGGTGTAGCACTAGATGAAATGATTGGTGTAGTGGTAGGCAAGCTTGTTAGTGATGTGGTAGCTGGAGTAGTTGGTGAAACTGTTGAAGTGGTAGGTGGAGTTGTTGGTGAAGTTGTAGGTGAGGCTGTTGGTGAAGTGGTAGGTGAGGCTGTGGTTAAAGTTGTGGGTGAGGTTGTTGGTAAAGAGGTAGGTGAGGTTGTTGGTGAAGATGGGGGTGAGGGGGTTGAAGTAGCACAGCTCACCTCTGGAGAGCAACACTTGACTCGTATCTCATAGTCATAACAAAGTTCAAATACTCCGTTTCCATACTGGTCTTCGTTATTGCAAATGAGCCCAAATGAGACATTACACTGTACCTTCTGCTCCAGATCCTGCCAGCTGAGTGTGGGGTCTGTGGCTGACCTGCACTCAATGTCCACAGGAGCACTACAGACGCTGTTGAAGGTCTCTCGCTCACCACCATCACTGTCATCACTAGGATGGTTGTTGTTGATCCAATCAGTCCAGCAGCATGGTACTAGGGAAGCAAAATTACATATAGGTTATTCATGCCAGAGGGAGGCTATGGGATTGAGTCCCTGGTGACCTCTGCAGATGCCCCACAGATACCCTTGCCCACCCATCATCACCAAGGGACCATATTTATAGGGTCGTATTTCACAACAGACGTATTTCCACCTTCATGCAGCTGAAAGACTGTGGTCCAGAGAGACAGGGCCACCCAAGGCTTGTCTTAGAGCCCCAATTCAGTATCCCTTCCTTGACAATGTCGTGTGAAAGTAAAAGACTAACAAGAGAGCCATCCCTAAGGAAGAGTGTGAAAAGGACTGTGTCTATTCCTGACCAAGAACGTGGTCACCCACACAGGTCAGGTCCCACCTCTGTGTCTATAGATTTGGCAAACAGTGGGTAAATACACCCATAATCCACAGCAGGTAAGTGCAGCCTGCCCTCGCTTCTGCTTCTGAAGGAAGCCCGGAAGGGATCTGGAAATATTTTCCCTTCTTGGCCCTACTTACCAGGAGCTGCTGATGGAACTTCAATCAAGAAAAACGGGAGGATATCACTGCACAGTTTAAGTCTGAAACTCTCAACATAGACCATTGGCCTCAAACTCATGGCAATCATCCTGCTTCTGCCTCCCAAGTGCTGGTTGTAAGTGTGCACCACCATGCCCAGCCTGTATTGTATGTGTGTGTACATTTGTGTGTGTGCATGTTTGTGCATGTGTGTGTGTTTACAAATGTGCGTGAACATGTGTATGTGAGTGTAGAGCCCAGAGGACAATCCCCAGTGTCATCCTCAAGAATGTAATCTCCTTCCTTTCAGACAAGGTGGCCCATTGGCCCAGAACTTGACAATATAGTTGTCTTGGCTTGCCAGTGAGCCCTAAGAATTCTGTTGTCTCCGTGACCCCAACAGTGCGATTACAAATGTGCACCCACTTGCCTGGCATTTTTACATGCACTCCAGGGATCAAACCCATGTCCTCGTGCTTGGGAAGCAAGTGCTTTGCCAACCGAGCCCAAGCCCAGTTAAGGCCCTCAAATTTACAGGTGTTCTTCCCTGTGTCTGCCATACCCCTGACAGCTTACCCATCATAGATATGGTTTGTACTGGAACAAATGCAGAGGAATGTGAAGACATCCTCCAGCATCCCCAGAGTTCAGAAAAATGTCGATGCCACCTAAATTCGCAGTTTATTTGCTGAATGGAGGGTGAATACACAGACCTGGCTCTGGACCCCAGAAGATGAAGAACCCATGCCCGATTCTCAGGAGAACAAAAGCCCCCAGAATAAGCCTCACCTTCAGTGCTAGTTATCGTGCCCGTGGCGGTAGCGGTAGCGGTAATGGTGGTGGCAGTGGCGGTGGTTGTGGTGGTGGTGGTGGAGATGGAAATAGGGGTAGAGACTGTGGTGAAGCTTGTCAGGGTGGATGGAGGTGGCGTGGAGGAGAAACAAATATTCAAGTGTTGTTCTATTGTCCCATTGGAGTCACAGATCTCAAAGTAGCAGAAGACACCATCCTGGGTCTCGTTAACAACCTTTCCTGTACAGAGGGTATGGGGTCATCAGTTTAACAAGAAAGACAGCCTTTCAAGGCTTCCCCAATTTATCCCATGTGATGGAGGACTGCATCCTCCATTCCAGCAGGACTGCATCCCCAGAACCTCTTACTTTGAAGAAGGAGCCTCACTGGAACCCAGAGGCAATGAGCCCAGCACCCAGATGAGAGGTGCACTAGAAATTCCCCATAGGGTACCACTCCCATAGGGTTCCACTCCCATAGGGTACCACTCCCATTAGAGAAAGGAAACAAAGATGTGAAGGGGGAGCCTCAGGCTTGCTGCACAGCTCAGCACGCTGAAGCTGGAAAGGACATGGGCAACCAAGAAAGAGAGCCCAGGAGGAAATCAATCCCTACCCAAGCCCAGGTCCCACAGGTATAAGAACAGCACAGTCCGAGCCGGGCGTTGGTGGCACACGCCTTTAATCCCAGCACTCGGGAGGCAGAGGCAGGCGGATCTCTGTGAGTTCAAGGCCAGCCTGGTCTACAAGAGCTAGTAGTTCCAGGACAGGAACCAAAAGCTACAGAGAAACCCTGTCTCGAAAAATCCAAAAAAAAAAAAAAAAAAAAAAAAAAAAGAACAGCACAGTCCATAGGCTTCCTGGGTTGGGACCACTAATCCTCTACCTCCAGGATCCCAGCAGAGAGCAGCTTACCTTCATCTGGACCGCAGTCGATTTCTGAAGTGTTGGTGCACATACTGCAAAGCAAGTATAGACGCTACAGGTCTTCCCCGTACCCTCCTGCCCACAGACACCACATGCCCATCTCCCTGTGTGCTGGCCCAAAGCCCTAGAGTACTGCCCCAACCACAAGCCACAAAGGAACCCCACCCACAGGGCTCTAAATGTAACCAATCAGATGAAGCAAGCTAAGAAAAAGCTGGCCCAAGAGAATGGGGTGAGATCAAAAGACCTGCATACTCCTAAGGACAGGAACTAGCACCTCTGTACCCTAGCTCCTTTGACCATATGTGTACAAGTGTGACTGGGTGTGCAACTGTATGTGGTTGTGTCCATGTATGTATGCACATTGAGTGAGTTGTGAATGAGTGTGTGTGGCTTTGAGCCATGTATGTGTGCTTGCATACACCTGATCAGCGTGACCGTATTTCCATGTGTCTGAACATGGGGTGTGTGTGTGTGTGTGTGTGTGTGTGTGTGTGTGTGTATACATGTGTGTGCCAACCTTTCCCAGGCCCTATGCAATGTAGGCTCAGTACCAAGACTCGCAGATATCCTTAGTGGGAATTGAAGAATTGGGTGGATAGTGAATGCCATCAACATAGCAGCCACACTGGTCCTCAGTGACACATCTCATTCTGTCTTCATCATATATGGGCTTGTTCTCAGGGCACCGAGGGTAGCAACCTAGTGGGTATAGGAAATGGGGCTTAGACCACCGTGGATGATGCCCCTGGTCCATCAAACCTTCCTCATCAACCCCACCCCATCTGGTGTTTTGCTTGGAGATGTTCATGTATGAAGACCAAGAGTCAGAAGACAGGGTTTGTGTCTCCCCTGACACTAGGGTATTCTGCACCACACACACCCGTGAGGTAGTGTGCTCCTCCGCCACCTCTTCAGGAGTCGGGGCCTTAGCTGGCTTCCATGACTCCAGTTTGGTGAACAGACTGTAGTGAAATGAACCTTAGCACCTGAGCCAAGCCTCTTAGCCCGTGGGCACCTCTCAAACAACCCTGAGTGTCTCCAGCTAACGGTAGCCCCCAGCCTGACAGAGGCCCTTGGTGGCCACCTTGCTGAAGGGCCCTGTCTGCTCACCCTCCAGGTAGTACACAGAGATGTTGGAGTGGATGCCGTTGATGGTCCTGCAGGTCTCAAAGCTGCGGTTCCCACACGGTTCATAGTGCCATGTACACTCATTTGGGAGGTTGTAGTAATCACAGAATACAGCTAGAGGGAGAGAGGATGGAACATGGTCCGGCTTGGGAGCACATAAGTGGGTACCCAAGTGAGCCTGCATCAGGGGACGTGAATGCCAGAGCATCCTACCAACACAAGTCTCACTATGCCCCCAGAAAGGATGTCTGGGGACAAGGATGAGATGAGTGACATTCAGTCATCACTTGAATGGGGAAGGAAGCTGGATACTCACGGCATAGGTCCGGCCTCCTCCAGAACACGCAGGCCTCTGCCTTGGTGCATTCTTGAGCATAGGAGGCCACAGCAGAGCAGAAACACTCACAGTCACCACCCGTGTCGCAGGAGCAGGAGTCATGCACACAGGCCTCATAGAAGACCGTGGGGTCCACCTAGGAGGGAGACGTCCATGTGCCTTAAGCCCGCACTAGCCTTAGAGAACCTGGACCACAGGACACTGAAGCTGGGCCACAGCCCCAGAGTAGCTGATAGACAGGGGCACACCCACATTCAGGCCATCCTGATCGACAGATCTGACACCCATCCCCTGAGTGCCTCAAGATGATAATCCTAAAACTGTCTCTCCCCCTGCTATCTTCTAGGCTCAAACAAAACAAGTCATTTCTCTCCCTCCCTGATGAGCATGCAGTCAGGGCGAGGAGGGCGGAGTCTGCCCCAGGATCTCAGAGAGAAAGGTTGCTCATCTAATTACTGACTCAAAGAACCAAGTGTACAGAATTGAAGAATACCCCATGGTGGTACAGCATCATGCCTCCAAGTATCCTTAGACTACTCGGAGAGGCCAGGAGCCCAAAAGACTAATAGGCCACACCCTTCTCGTGGACACAGTCAAGCTCATTAATCTCTTTCAGTGGCCCCAACCATGGCCCTGAACACAACCACAATACGCCTCTAGTGGGGCTCTGCCTACAGAGCCCTTTGCCCATGGCCACAGTCCACCCACACCTGTGCCCCTGCCCACACTCGTGACCCTCCCACGCCTGCAGCAGTGCCTACCTTGCTGTGGCCCTGCCCATGCCTTCAGCTCCGCCTACCTTGCTGTGGCCCTGCCCATGCCTTCAGCTCCGCCTACCTTGCTGTGGCCCTGCCCATGCCTTCAGCTCCGCCTACCTTGCTGAGGCCCTGCCCATGCCTTCAGCTCCGCCTACCTTGCTGTGGCACCCTTTGAATACATGACTCTTGATAATGCTGCACTGCTTCTCTGCCCAGGAGCGACGGTGTGGGTTTAGGGCACAGGGGTCTGGGGTGTGGTTCACATCGGGGCACGTGGAAGCTTCCTTCCAGCTATTTCCAAAGTCCAGCTCACTGGTCACCACCATGTGGTCCCGAGTGGTGAAGTCATTCTTGGTCTGGTCATCAAAGTTCCCACACAGACCGCATACAGTGCCCTGTAGGTGGGAAGACAAGAGTCTCCAGCTTGAGCAGTTCTTGAAGTAGGTGAGAACAGCATCCACAGCATCTATGCTGATGACAGCCCAGGACATGGCTGGCATCTTGGTGGCCCACCTTGTAAGAAGGAGCCAGCTTGATGAAGATGGTGGTCCTCTTGTCCCAGATAACGATAATACCAGGGCTGGCCTCCACTACCAGGTACAGGCCCACTTTCCGTGTGATGTAGGGCACATGGTGCCTATTTCCCAAGTGCCTTACCACACGGTGTTTATCCATCAGCTTCAGCTCTGTCCCCTATCCAGAGAAAAGGACGGTCACTGACTGTGTCCAAGCCTTCCCACGGGATCCCCTGTCCCAGGAACCAGCAGCACTCACCCCTATAAATATCTTTATGGCCTTGGAGCAGGTAACGCCTGTGGTGCCGCAGGGGACATTCTCGGTGATAATGCTGAAGGAGCCAGTAGAGTTCTGGCCACAGTAGTCCTGGGTCCCGACAAGACAGTGTTAGCCAAGAAAACCAGGACACGGGTGCCTACCCCAGCTGCTAAGGCCACCCCTCGGAGTAGAAAATGCTCTGCCTTTCCCCATCTGGGATTCAAGGCCCTAACTCAAACCCCATCCAGACAGGTCTTTCCGTTGCCTGGGGATGATGATGCCGTACAAAGGGCAGAATTGATAATAGCTGGGACTGTCCACACACACACACACACACATACACACACACACACACACACAGAGAGAGAGAGAGAGAGAGAGAGAGAGAGAGAGAGAGAGAAGAGAAGAGAAGAGGAGAGAGTAGGCTTTCTCAACACCCCCCATCCCCATACATCCCCATCTCATGGAGGAGAGAGGTTTACCACACCCTCTCTATTCATTGCTGGAGCCCAAATCCTGGCAGCAAGAGTTCCAGGGTGAGGAACTAGCCCTTCCCACCCCAAGGACCTTTTTCCATATCTCAGGGCAGGCTCCTTCCTGGAGAGTTTCACAACCGCACCTGGACAGCCACATAGGAGCAGTGTCCATCAAAGTCATAGTGCTTCCCATCGAAGGTGATGTAGTGGCCGCTCCCATAGATGGAGCAGGTGCTGTGGCATGCATAACGGGTGCACTCCCAGCGTCCTTTCTGGCAAGTACTGCGGGGAAAGATAGAGGAGCCTGAAGGGGCCTGAGGCCAAGACTCCCACATGCCCTCTGAGAGCAGCTTAGGTAAGGCCCTGGGCACCATGGCACCAGCTTCTGAGGCCGTCCATATAGGAAACCTGCAGGCACCTATACTGGCCTAAGAGTGACCTCTAGGGTGAGGGGTAGACATAAGACTTGCTCTGTCAACAGAGCAAATATCCAAAAATCCAGCCTAACCCCTCCAATGCAGGCTGACTGGGCCAGCTCACCAGGTGTTGTTACAGTCCAGTTTGATCTGGGCCCCAGGATTGTATAGGTCTTTGTTGTGGATGCAAGGACACTCCTCCTTCTCCACACAGCCACCACGGCCATCGTCCAGTTTCCCATCAGGACACACACAACCGCTGACGCATTCTGTATGGTACTGGAATAAGAAGGGCTCAGATGAGGGCCAAGCCTTCCTTGAGGAATTGAGTGCCCACAAGAGAAGATCTAACAGTGTCCTGGACCCCCAACTTCTCCTCCTCTCTCCTAAAACCCTTCCCTTATCCTGGTCAGGGAGACCAGGTAGGGTTGCTGTTCAAGGCCCCTAGGCTGACCTCTGCACTGCTTTAGGCCGCCACTTCTCTTCCAGGGAGTACCAAATAGACCCAGGTGTTTGTGAGACTCAGGCCCCAGCCCAGTGAACTGGCAGTGTGGGAGTCTGCTTAGTCCACACAATGGACTCAGGCATCAGAATGCCCCCAACCAGCCCTCCTTGGCACTCACATAGCCAGCCACCAGTGTCTGGCAGCTAGTGGGGCGGGGTTCCCGGGTGGCCAGAGCAGTCAAGTTGTTGCAATCCACAAGGATTTTGGGGTGCTTACAGGCTGTGGGGTTAAGAAGTCCGTCTTAGCTCAGATGAATTCAGGGTACCAGGTAAGTAGGGAGGGGAAACAAGACTCAGACTGGTAGCCATACATGAACAACATCTGTAAAACTTACTGTGGCCAAGCAATTTGACCTGGGTGCATTGCAGCCTCCCGTTCCGGCAAATGCTATGAGAGAGAAGTGGAACAGGGTTCATGGGACTCAAGTCTGTCCCTACACAGGGCGTATGCCAGCCAGGCCACTTTCAGAATCTCACCCCTGGAACCCCTGCACCATTTGAGAGCCTCAGGCCCCACAGGTAGAACCTTCCCTGCCCCCATTTTTCCCCTTGGGGCAGAGATTGAAGAGCGTCCCCTCCCCGACTCTATGGGCCCCTTGCAGAGTCCAGGACACTCACCAGCGCGCCCCTTGCCTCAGGATCACATCTCCTGCCTCCAGGTAAAGTCCGTAGTGGTAGCAGGAGCACTTAGCCAAGGGCACACAGCGGCCTTTCTCATCCATGAAGGTATTGTCAGGGCAGCCACAGCCTTCCACAGGGGCAAATCCCTTAAGGCAGTGAGCGTCACCCTCTGAGAGGGAGCGGCAGGTCTGCTGACAAGTGGTCAGGTTGTACAGGAAGATCTGTGAGCTGGGGCAAGCGTGCACATCTTTGTCTGCAGGGGAAACCACAGGAGTGAGGGCCAATGGCACTAGACTCCAACTACTGTCCCTATAGGCTGTCCCTGAGCTTCTCCCTCCACCTGCAGACAGAGGCCAGCCACCCTGGGAACCTCTCCCAGGTTGCTGAACTCAGCTTCCGCAGCTGTGGCCATCCCAAAGTCCATCTCTGCAAAAATTCTGCTCCCACGCTGCACACAGAGCCTAAAGGTCGGGCAGACGCTGGGTGACAGCTACAAGGAGCTGCCCCTTTCCCTGGACTGACTGCTCAGGGCTCCTGGCCCCCAGCCCACGGAGTTTCATGTCTGGACCCCATCCTAGGGAGCAGCCAGCGGGGAAGCACTCACTGCAGACGCGCTCCCGCCAGCCCCACAGCATGACCCCCTTGGCAGCACAGGCTTGAGCATAGGAAGACAGAGCTGCGCACATGCAGTCCTCATTGTTCTGACAGTTGCACGTGTCGTATTTGCACCTCTGGGAGACAAACCAAAGTAACAGTGAGGTGAGGAAGCCAGGCACACAGCCCTGGCACCCTGAGCACTCCAGTGAACACACATGTGCATGCACGCCAGCACTCAGACAAACAGACAGACACACACACACACACACACACAGCCACTCACGGGCTCAGCCAGGTGGCCTGAGCACACTTTGTTTGGCTGTGGGGACACTGCCGGCAGCATTGAGTATGTAGGGTTGGGGGATGAGCTCACCTTGTAGTAGTCAGTGGGGTCCACAGTCAGGTGGCACCTGGCAAAAGGGGTCTCTGACCTCTTCAGTAGGGAACACCAGTGCTCAGCATAGTTGGCTGGGGAGTAGATCAGAACCTCAGCACAACCAGGCTCCCCTCACATACTCTGAGCCTAAAAGTCTGATCACCCAGGATGGAGATGACACGGTATCCTGTGTGATCAAAGTCAGATCCATCCCTCCCTTCCTCCCTCCCTCCCTCCATCCCTCCCTCCCTCCCATCGTAATTCCAGGCAGCTGTGAGCAAGATGAGACAATTTTGTATAACACCCACATCCTCCCTTTCTCAACCCCGGAGGCTAGAAGTCTTCAGATATGATCGAGAAGTGGGTAGGAGGGCATATTGTCCTAGCATTAAGCCAGGCCTGGATGAGAGCCGCCACCAGCAGTTAGCCTGACCAGCCCATCTACTTGGTCGCTTGGAAAGCTGCCACCATGGGGCCACTGTAAACTAGCCAAACAGCAGGTAGATGTGCTGGTCACCAGCAACATGGACTATGCAATCTCTACCCACCCTTCCGCCCACATACTAGGTCCCCATCTGCTCTGAGGCGGTACTGGCCAGGACTCTGTGTCCTAGACAAGCCAGTGGACAGTGACCAACTTCCCCTGAGCCTTACCGCTCTCAATGTTGAGGGAACAGGGGTCATCTAGCCAGTCTAACTTGTCATGGCAGCTTGACTGGGCCTTCCAGGTGTTGGCGAAGCCGGCACCCGTGGCCTCCACCAGCCCGCCAGACGTCATGAAGTCATCATTTTCCTGGTCGTTGAAGTTTCCACAGAGACCTAAAGATGCAGGACAGAATTAGGAAGAACTGGATGCAGGCGCGAGCAGTACAGGACCCTCATGGGGCTTTTTCAGGGACAATACAAAAGGGACCACTCACCCTGCACCTGTCCCTTGGCAGACTGGTCCAGAGTCACAAAAAGCTGCATGATTGGGACCAGTTGAACCTGTAGCCGCAGCCCGAACACCGTGTTCACAACAATGTGGTAGGAAGAGGGTTGAAAGATGGAGAAGCTTGCTGCAAAACAAGAACACGTTGAAAGATAGCAGGGCTCCTGGGTTCCACGTGACTGTTGAGTGGCATACCCACCATCCCATTCCCCCACCACCAGCAGGGGCCCAAAGATAGAGCCTGCCGGAGGCCCAGGCCCCTAGGCTATCCCAGTCCCAGCTGGCTCTTTTGACTGGCAGCAGCTCATGACCCCTTCCCTGAGACACTCACCTGCCACATGGGGCAGGGTCACCTCCAGGTCATTGAGTAACACACTGCCACCTGATTTGAAGGCCACCACCTACAAGAAATGCCACGGTTGCATAGAGCCAAAAGTGCCTGCATGCAGGACCCAGGAATGCTAGGGAGAGAGGAGGACTTACGTTCTTCTTGTTGTCAGTAAGTAGCAGGACAGTTTTCAGGCAGGTCTGCTTGTCTGTGGAGCCGCAGGGGGCCAGCTCACCCAGGAGGGCATAGGAGTCATTGTGCTGGCCCTGTATGCAGAAAGATGCTGTGGTTACTGAGGATCCGAGCGCCTCCTGTGCCCTAGACCCCCCACTTTTCATCCTGTTTCTGAGAGCAGCACCACCCATCACCCCAGGGACGGCCTTCTCCAGAACCGGTCTCTCCTCCCTCCCCAAAGGACAGAGGGCCCCCAGCTCCATCCAGGTAGCCTGGCCTGCCTACCTTGGTCAAGACATAGTAGCAGTCCCCGTGAAAGGTAAACTTTTTTCCATCAAAGCTGGTGATGTGGGAGCCACCTTCTAGGGCACAGGTCTGAGGGCATTCCCAATCTTCACACTCCCAGCGACCAGCCTTGCAGACACTGTCCAGAAGCAGGGCACAGGGTCAAGACTCAGTGACACCCCAGCCTGCCTGACCCCAGGCCCTATGCTCTGATACTTACCAGGTCTCACAGTTATTGGTAATCTCCTGGCCTGGCCGATAGAGGTGCCCATGCAGCTTGCAGTGGCACTGGCTCACAGGGACGCAGCCCTTGCCCGTGATGTCATCATACACAGTGCCTGTGGTAGCCAGAGATGTAAACTTACCCTGGAAGCCTCGGGAAGTGCCAGTTTCCCCAAAAGGAGAGGCTGCCAGCCAGATCTCCACCCACAGACATCAAGACCCTGCTCTGTCAATGCAGATGCTCGCCTCCCAGCCCTTAGGGTTCTTTGGAGGGTCCCACCCCTCCCTGCCTGCTCCCCGACCCAGTCTCTGGGACAAGGGTCTTCCAGAGCATGTACCTTCTGGGCAGAAGCAGCCATCCATGTAGTGTTCCTCACACAAACTGCTGACCTCCAGATGTGAGCAGGTGTCTATGCAGGGCGAGCTGCTCTCCAGGTATACCATGTTACCAGGGCATTTCTTGGCTAGAAGCAAAGTCAGCTCCATCAACCCACACATAAGGCACTAACACAGTGCCAAAGCCACTGGCAGACAGGGTCTGGGTGCTTGGCACAGACATGGCTCCCACCGGGGGCTCCTTAAACCCAGGGACACTCACACAGAGCACCATGTGAGAGGCCCCCCAAGCACCCCATGGGTCACCAGCTACTTACGGCAAAGTGAGGCAGTCCTCCAGTTCTCAGGTCGGCCGCCTGCGTGGGAGCACTGGCGGGAGAACTCAGCAAGGGTGCTGCACTCACAGGCACCATCCTGAGGACACGCGCAACGGTCCTGCATGCAGGCGCGCACATACAACTCCACGGGCACCCGGGCCTGGCAGTCCTCGAAGGCTGTGGAGGTCAGCAGCCTCTCACACTCGGCTCGCTGAAGAGAAGGACACAAACGTGGACAACTTCACACCCCTGTTCGTACCCCTCCTCCCCTCCCCTTAGAGCATAGGAAACCCCAACACAGGCCAGCAGGTACAGACTTCCTAAGAGCCTGGGTTTCCCAGCAGCGACTCACATGCTCAGAGCAAGACTCTGGCTCTTGCACCACCTCCGGGTCCTGGCACTCATCCTCAGGCGTGTTGATCTTCTGCATGTTCCCAAATTCAATGGCACTGTAGTGTATGCCTACGGATGCAGGTGGTTAGCTCCTTGAGAGCTGGGAGCCTGCAGCCTCACCCCTGTCTTCCTCTCAACACGCCCAGTTTAGCACTCACCTTCTTTGAGGAACTCATAATAGGTCTGTATGCCATTGAAATCCCCACAGAGACCACAGGTGTGGTTCTGGAACCGGCTGTCTAGTTCTAGCTGTTGAAAAAGAAAGCAGGGCAGGTGAGCAGACATCAGGGCCCAGCACAGCTTCCAGAGTCCCTAGGTCTAAGCAGCTTCTCCAACAGGGCAGGTCAGGAGGAGGGCAGGGATCAGCCACCAGGAAGGGTCCTTCAGGTTGGGGTACCAAAATGCAGTCTCTGAGAGACAGAGACCAGTCACTGCACCTACAGCACAGAGGGTCCCTCCCAGGCCAGACCAATGGAGATTCTGGTACCAATCACTGTCTCCAGCAGCCTGCTCCACCACATAGGATTCTACGCCAATTGTGAGGCGTGGGTCCCCCAATCCTGCCCTTCTATGGAGCTACAAAGCCTCTGGCCAGAGAGAGGAGCCCCGCCACCTCAGAGCCCAGGATGCTGGTGCCCACCATGAGTGCGTCTTCACGGTTCCACATGAGGGAGAGACCAGCACGGGAGTAGACCTTGGTGTAAGCATCGTTCTTCTCAATGAGGAGCCCGGAGCTGTAGTGTGGGGTGCTGACCCTGTGGGGACCACTATGGGGTTACTCACCATCCCACCATCCCAGAGCCTACCCACTCGTCCTCCCGAGGGTTCTGCTGACCACCTGGCGCTGAGGACATTATCTGGATGAAGACAGCCCAGCCTGCCTCCTTACTTGGTCTGTTCTCATCTGGAGCACAAACAGACCTAGCCAAGCTCCAGGAGGAGGCCAGAGCCGGGCAGAGGCCTCAGCAATGGCCAGAGAGCCTTTGTCCTGGGTAATTTCCTTGGGGCATGGTCAGGCCCTTCTGCCTATTTTCCTTCCCATACTCTCTCAGAGTCCAGGAAAGAGGCCCTTCTCAGGAGCCCCAAAGGCAGTGGGTCTGGGATACGTTGGAGACTGAGCCCCCAACCCTCTCAGGCCCTTGGTTCAGAGGTATTTTTCTCACAAAATCTGGCAGGGTAGAACTCTCAACCCCTTCCCAGACCTTTACCCGGAATTGTTCTTATTCCGGGACCCCATTCCCCTCCTGAGCTGGCCTGGAACTGCCACGCCCCAACCCCTGAGCCTCTATCCCTAGGGACCTCTGCCATACAACCCACACATGACAACATGGTCCAGCAGACCAGGCAAAGTAAAGGAACACTGGCAGAGCCCCCGTGCAAGACACAGAAAGGCTTGGAGTGGGAAAAGAGCAAATCCCCAGGGAGGTGAACCTGCAAGACAGGAATGCATTTAAGAGGACCTCATTGTTACTGAGACAAAGCCAGGGAACAATAGGGCTGGTAGAGCAGCCTCTCCCTTCTGGGCTTTTGCAACTTTAGCCTGGGGAGCAGGCTTCCTTCTGCACAGCCCCCAGGGGAAACCTGCAAGGGACTCACAGGTTACCTAAGACCCCCAGTCTACAGAGGGGACTCATCAGTGTTTGGTGAGTGAATCCATAGCCTAGTTCAAACCTCAAAGCATCCCTATTAGCCATGTGCCAGAACAGAAGAGGGTGTCCTGGAGACTGGCTCGTTTATACAAAACGTTCAGGGGAGAACTTGCTCTGAGGAGCCAGAAGCATCCCCTGGCTTCTGGGACATGGGAGACAGATACTAATCCCACTCACATCGCCCCGTTCACCACTGCCAGCTTGTGGGTGAGGTAGATGGTGTCGTCCTTAATGGTGATGATGATGGACTCTATCTGGGGGTGACCCCCAGCCTGGCCCGAGCCCCGCTTCAGATGCACAGCAAATTCCTTGTAGGAGTCTCGGCAGTCAGAGGCAAAGTTGTAATCACAGAGGCCAGGGAATCGGAAGACATCGCCATCAAAGGTTTTGTAGTGGAAGTTGCCCCAGGTGCTGCAGACATGGTTTCGGGATATGGCTTCTGGGAGAATCATGAAGACTCAAGGTGAGACACCCAGATCTGAGGAGGACTTCCCTGAGCCCATTCTCCAAGTTAACCCCGGGGGTCCCCCCAGGGGTACCCATCTGAGGCTCCAGATCAGGGTTTCTAGATAAGATGGTACCCCTACATAAGCAGTCTCTGCTAACTATTGGTCAGCCTTCTGCAGGACTCTAAGACAAGGTACTACCTAGTGTGGCACACAAGCAGGGAGTGAACGCAAAGGGGCATTTGGGCAATCTGGTCACTCTGCACACCTACTGCCCAGTCCCCTCCGCTGATGCTCTACTGAGCCCCACTCCATCTACCCCTCATCCAGCAAGAGGTTGGGCTGAGTTCCTCAGTCTTCAGGGGTCCCCACTGGGACATCCCCCACCCACAGCTTTGTCCTGATGGGACAGAAGTTTTCCATGTGGACACTCAGCCCATTCTCCAGAGGCACTGTCTTGCCGAAGGTCCCTTATATCTGGAACTGTCCTAAACTTGGCTTCTCCTAGACATCCAAAGCTTCCCCACTCCCACGAATGATGGACACTCGGGGAGTCCAGCTTCTCATCCTCTTGGTGTAGGACCCTCAGCCTTTGAGAGACCTAAGACCCCAGTCCAACTGGAGTGGCTCTGACTGGGGACCCCCTCTTATTCCAGGCACCCCTTACTAACTGCTTTGGGCTTCCCAGCCTCCCCACCCTCAGGGTGCTCTGCCCACTCCCTTGCCCAGATAATGCAGCCCCTTACCTTTCTGGAGCTCCGAGCCCCTGGCTAAGGCCAGGACTAGGCACACAGCCACCAGGCGAGCTAGTGGCAGCCCCATGGAGGCTCAGGAGGGTGGCACAGGAGAGCATCCCAGGGCAGGGGTCCAGGACTTATATTCCTAGCAGGCATCTGAGGGCGGGAGGACAAGGGAGGTGCAAAGGGTGGGTGGGGCATTTGCCGAGTTATCAGGAAAACAGCTGTGGGGGCTCCATGGGTCCCAGTGAGGAAATATTGATTCAGGTTATCTGAGTTTATCTTTATATGACTCCCTGGGTAAACTTGGCCTTCCTCAGGATGTCGCAGCCTCAATTATCCCAATGCCAGCACACACCCCAGGTGAACTCCATCCCTTTAAGTTACAAGCCAGGCCAATCTCAGGTTTGGAGAGGCGGGAGGTCCCTGCTGGCATTACATCCCATGAGCTCTGTCATACCCTTCTAAGTGCCCCCAGGTCTGGCCCAGCAACCTCCAACACAGCCCAGGTAGAATAAGGAGCTTCCAGGTGTCTGCCAACATCTCCATTCTATTTCTCCAGGAGCCCTATGGGCTGAGACACCAGGACTGCTGAGGCACCTCAGTTCATGTCCCCTGGGGGAGACAAGTGTGGCAGGAATCGAGACTCCAGATGGGGGTGTCTGACTCCAGTCTGGCAAGGAGGAGCAGTGGGGGCCCTGGGGGGGGGGGGCACCTGTCTCCGTGGAGCCTGCTGCACTCTCCAGAGCCCAGCTAAGTCGGCTCTCTAATCCCCTTGTTTTCCCAGGCGCTGCCAGTCTCTGGAATTAAATGTAATTAGAACTTGGGCAGCCCTCAGCCCAGGCAACAACTCTTATTGGACTCATGTCCCCTGGTGCAAGAGGAAGTAGCCTGAAGTGGCCACTTTGTGAGAATGGGGTCTGAGCAGAGAGGTTAGCCACCCCCTACCCCAGCAGGTCCTGGCTGCAGTCTCCTGAGGCTAACACTTCTCCTAAGGACATGGGGACTGGGGAAGCCCAGGAAGCCTGTCTTGTTTCCCAGTCACAGCTGTTACTCCAAGAATGTGATCCTGACTCCAAAGGAGCAGTGACCCCTGAGCTTAACCCAAAGCTGCAGCTGCCTCTCCAATGTCTGGCAATGCCTCCGGAAATCAGGACACAGCCAACATGAGCCTATGGGAGACACCGGTTTCCAAGGTCCACACCAAGCTGGAGAGGCACAGGTAGCCACCCATGCTGTAGCTGGAGCATAAACTGAGACCTAGGAAAGCCCCTCCTCCATATTTTCCTCTTCCGGAAAACAAGGATAGGTCCTGACTTTGGCTAGAGTACACCCAGTGAATTTGGTCACAAGATACCCCTGGCTCCAGTTCAGTCACAAAGTTCCAGAGGTGAGTGAGGGGGGGGAAAGAGCATCAGTGGTCACAGATCCCCTAAATGACGATGGCATCTCCTTTCCTAGGCTACTGCACTGAAGCCACATCCCGGGCTAGAGAAACTGCTAGCAATAGCACCTGTTCTACAACGCCACCCACTTAGGCTGCTGGGACCTCCACAGCATCCCAGCTGGAGTCTAAAAAGGGTCCCTCTACAAAGACATCAAAGATAGCAACCACCAGCCAGAGCACCGGTGGAAGCCACTCTTCCCATCTCGCTGTGCCCATCGCTCTAGCTCTGTTCTGTCCTCCCCACTATAGCTCAGGCACGTGGGAGAACCTGAGTATAGCCTAAGCCCAAAAAATAGGGATTATGGAACTAGAGCCAGTTGGGCCAAGGAATCCATTGTTTGACTTCCCTATGTGGGCCCCTCAGGCTGGCACCATGCCCTGGGGAAACCCAAGGATGGACCAGGCCCTAAGAACTTGTGCTTTTCCATGCCGTGCTCTCTCTGCTATGGAGGGAGTCAGAGGAATTGGGACCAGACTCATGATGCCCAGCACAGACATCTGGCTGCGCTCTGAGAATCTGGCTCCTCTCCGGTCCTCCCTCGGTGGAGAAACTGGAATCATTGGATGGAGCGGTGGTGATGATCCCAAGCTGAGTGAGCTGACGCTAACAGATCTCTCGGTCCAATGCAGAATCTCAAGTAATTTATGTGAGCTTTAACAGCCCAGCGCATGGCTGGGCCCAGTGGTCAAGCCATAACCCTAGTAGTTTAGGGAACTGACGTAAAGGCAAATGGCAGTGAGGTTTCTGTCAAGTTCAAATGGCTTCATCACCTGCTTTTCAGCTACCAACTCTGGTAGTAAGGATTGTAGTGGCATTCCATTTGTATTTTAATAAAGCTTGCCTGAAGATCTGAGAGTAAAACAGCCCCACTGGTCAGCCTTACAGACCAGGCAGTGGTAACACACACCTTTAATCCCAGTAGCCACACTAGTTGCCATAGAAACCGGGTGGTGCATGCCTTTAATCCTGATGGTGCATGCCTTTAATCTCAGTTCTAGAGAAGATTATAAAACAGGAGGAGACAGATCTCAGACACAGTCTCATTCTGAGATTCCTGGAGGCAAGATCGCCATTTCAGACTGAGATCAAGGTGGCTAATGGCTTGGCTGGTTTGCTGTTCGGATCTTCAGGTCGAACCTCAATCTCTCTCTTTCTCTCTGAGTTTTTATTAATCATGTTTCAAAGGATGAGGACCAGGACGGCCTACGTAGGGGGCCAAGGTTCTGCAACAAGACAAGCATGAACTTGAAAGCGCTGAGTGGCCACACAGAGGCCAACACACATGGAGACAGATCCTAAGACCACACTGAGTGACTGACGACTTCATCCACCTGATCGACCCCTTCTCTGTGCTGAGGCCTTAATGGGCTCTGCCATGGGCCTTGAAGCTCACTTTCCCACTCTTGGCCCCAGAGGCCCTTACCCCACCTCCTTGTAGCTTTTCCACAGGGCATGAAAGACTGTGATGAAGGAGAGAAGACGTCAATACTTTGAGGAAGTTGCTGGGCAGTGTCGTTGTCTACCACAAGGATGTGGTGACCAAGGTGAGAATGACCGCCCCACCCAGTCACAGGTGGGCCCTGCTGGGCAGGCTGCCTTCCCAGTCCTTAAGTTAGAGGAAGTTGCTGGGCAGTGTCATTGTCTGTGACAAGGATGTGGTGTCGGAGGTGAGGATGACCACCCCACCCAGTCACAGGTGGGCCCTGCTGGGCAGGCTGCCTTCCCAGTCCTTTAGTTAAACCAGAACTGAAACCAACAATGGTCAGGGTCCCAGGCATCCTAGACCTTCTTCTGCTAGCCCCACACCCTGCAATGTTTACCTGGACAAGACACTGTTCCTGGGAATTGCACCGAGTTTACAGCCTTGACTGCAGGGAGGAGGCAGCAAAGACGTCACAGCTCCTAATGTGAATGTTCTACTCTGTCCACACACTGACTCATCCGGAAGCTGGAGGGGAGGGGAGGAGGGACTGCAGGAGAAGAAGGGCGAGGGGGATGGGGGAAGGGAGAAGAGGGAGTCCACCCCCAAATGGGGACCATCCAAGCCCCCACTCCCCTTCTCAGTGATCTCCTACGATGGTTTCTGCTGTCTATCAGCCTGGCTGAAGCTCACTGTCCAGTGGTTTGGTCAGACATTAGCCTTGATGTTGCCTAGAAGGTTCAGATGTAGGTAGATGGTCCTCCCTGGAATGGGTGGTGAGATCTCGCAAAAAAAGAGACTGCAGTCCGCAAGGCAGAGAGAAGTCTACCTGCAGATCTGCTTTGGGTCTCCCATTTGCCCACCTCCCTGCAGGTTTCAAACTTGCAGCCTGCTAGCTGGTTTTATGTGTCGAACTTGACACAAGCTAAAGTCATCAGAGGAGAGGGATCCTCAGTTGAGGAACTGCTTCCATGAAATCCAGCTGTAGGGCATTTTCTCAATTGGGAGGCCCAGCCCATGGTGGGTGGTGTCATCCCTAGACTGCTGGCTCTGGGTTCTATAAGAAAGCAGGCTGAGCAAGCCAGGGGAAGCCAGTCAGTAAGCATCTCCCCTCCATGGATCATCTTCTGCCTCCAGGATCCGGTACTGCTTGCGTTCCTATCCTGACTTCCTTCAGCGATGAACAGCAATGCTGAAGTGTATACCTAATAAACCCTTTCCTCCTCCACTTGCTTTTTGGTCACGGTGTTTTAGTGAAGCAATAGAAACCCTAACTAAGACACAGCCCCGCCATTTCATGAGCCAATTCCTTAAAGTAACATTTGTCTATATGTGTGCACTTACACGCCCTCTGTGTTTGCTTCCACACCCCCTGCTGCTTCAGTCTCCCTGGGGAACCCTGACTGATACATCTTGCACAACCCCTCTCTCTCAGGGTGGGAGGCAGACTGCAGCTTTATGAGTTCCCTAGCCCAGACAGTTCCTCCCTTTCTCTACCCCATTTTGACCTCAATGTGACCTCACTGACCTTTCCTGTGTCAGCCACATGAGTGGTCTCGGGCCATTCCCCATGATGCTCTGTAGTCAATTTGACTGCTAATGCCTGTTGCAGAAACAGAAACCAAACTACTGAGGACTTTGTGTCTCAGTGGCTACAAGAGAGCCTCTCTGGACATAGGAGACAAGGCTGGCTTAACAGCCCTGCTGACCACCGCCCTTGCCATCCTGGCCAAGCATCCAACACCAAGCTACCAAGTCCCAGACAGCAGCAATGAACTGAAGCGAGAAGCTTGTATCTCACCACAGTCAGCAGACAGAGGGTACTCCCAGAGCAGCCATAGTTCTCAGCCCCTCTGGATTCCTAAAGGAAACCCCAGCCCCAGTCACACAGGGACAAAGCAGTAAGTCCTGGGCCTAGGCCTACAGTGAAGCATCTGTCCTACAGGGCCTCCCCTGAAACATAAAGGCAAGCTCCAACACAGCAAATGGGTCCCCCGCCTTCACCTTCAAAGGCTTGAGAACACTGGGAGCAGACAAACCTGGCCACACACCCAGTCCCCTGGGAGGAAGTCAGTTCAGCACAGGCTTGAAGGTCAGAGAGGAAGCAATAGAAGGCCTGGTCAAGCCAGCAGGTTCCACTGGGCAGGTTTATACAGGACAGGTTACTGGAGGGCACTGCCCCGCTGGACCCCCATCTATCAGACAGGTCATTACCGTTCAAGAGTTCAGCCA